TTTCCCTCTCTGGTCAAATTAAACATAAATAAATAAGCAAATAAAGTTAAATAAAATGATTCTTTAAAAAAAGATAGAAAATCAGGCCATCTGGTCTTATGCTATACTGTCATTTAAATACAGCAGGACTACCTTGATTCAAACTTATAGGATTGGGTAAATACTATATATTTACATTATTAGGATGTTTAATTTACGAGATATTTTCTAAAGGTTTTCAGTATTGTCACATATTTTTATGATTCTTCCAGGCAGCCCTTGACATTCGACAGTCAGTGTTTGGTGGCAAAAATATCCATGTAGCAACAGCTCATGAAGACTTGGCCTATTCTTCTTATGTTCACCAATATAGCTCTGGAAAATTTGACAATGCACTGTAAGTTCCACATTCTGTTTTCAGTGAAGGATTAAGTATTGCTTTTTCCCTAATACTGTAGTACTTAATATACTTTATGGATTAAATTTGGAGCTTTAATGGAATGCCTAAAATGTTCTTTAAGTCATTTCAAATTATACTAGTTTATAAGACATTTATTTAGACTTTATGTGGTTTAATATTGAGACATGTATATTTTCATGTAGTATATGACTTATCTTTGAGTATTTCCTTCAGTAATTTTCCTTTAAGGAAAATTTAGCAGCCTCTAGCTAAATACCAGACTTAACCTAAAAACTTCTTGCTAAGAACAAACAGAAATACTGAATAAAATACAGTTTTCATCTTTTAAAAATGCATAACTGAACTTACAAGAGTGACATGAAATACCCAAGATTCAGTAATGGACATTTAATTCCAAAAATTTAAGCATGAACTATGTATGATGTAACTACTCTATAGTGGTTGGGAAACTTGGTGGTTTCTGTAACCTTAGTTGAAGAACAGTCCTGCGTTTGAAAGATACTTAGCCTTTAGCAGGCCATTAGGTAGAATTGAAACAACCCTCGCATATAGCCAGGATCAAGGCTTCATCCTTTAGGGGAAGGCTTCTCCTTCAGGGAAAGGACAGACTAGGGGAAAAAATTCTTCCATTGGCAGAGAGATGGTAAGAAAACTTACCCCATTCGAGCTTGGGCTCACAGCTGAACAGAAAAAGGATAAAAAAAGAAGCCTCAGAGTTTATAAACTGTAGACTTGTATCACTTAAGTTTGGGAATCATGAGTGCAGGAATCCCCAAACAGAGGTGGACCAGCAGATGGCGTAATGGTTACATTGTTGAACCATGGTTTGGGTCCCAGATCAGCGTCTTAAAAAACTCACCTCAGGGGCCAGCAGTTGGCGTAATGGCTATGTCACTGGACTCCCATGTAGTCAACCGTGGTTTGAGTCCCGGACCCGGTGGCTTAAACTCATGTGTGCATGCGTGCCCAAGATCCTGAGAGGAGGATGGAGGAGAAGGGATTGCAGTGTGGCCATCCCCCCTGGGGGATGATTTCTCGCTTTCTGTCTCTCTGGCTCTCTCTGTCTTTCTGGTGAGCACATGTGCCCTATATCAAAAACCTCGCCAAAAAAAAGAAAAAGAAAGAAAGGAAAAAAAAAAAAAAAAAAACAACCCAGCATGCTGGCCCAAAATCCCAAGAGAAGAATGGAGGAGGAGGGATTGTATCATCCTCCCTGGGAGGTGATTTCTTGCTTTCTGTTTTTCTCTGTCTCTCTGGCGGGCGCATGCTCCCTATAGCAGAAATCTCTAAAAAAAATAAGAGGAATCCCCAGAGAAAAATATTTTAAAAACACTTTGGAATAGGACCAGCAGATGGCATAATAGTTAGGTCACTGAACTCCCACATAGTCAACCATGGTTCAAGTCTTGGGCCTGCCAGCTTAAAACTCATGCTAGGTGCGTGTATGTGTGTGCCCAAAATCCCAAGAGGAGAATGGAGAAGAGATTGTAGTGCAGCCTTCTCCCCTGGGAGGCAATTTCTTGCTTTCTGTCTCTCTGGCGAACAAACGCGCAGTATAGCAAAAAAAATCTCTCTTAAAAAAAACAAAAACACTTTGGGGCAGCTAGTTCTCTGGGGATGCCTTGTGGCAGAAAATGCAAAACTCTTGTAAATAATTAACTTTCAGCTCAATCTATATAGATATTTCATAGATGAAGCTCTATTTAAAATGATCTCAACATCAAAAATTACAAACTGTATAAGGAAACAGTATATGATTGAGAGTCAGCAGAAATAAAAAACAGGATTAAAAACATAAGAACTTGGGAAGCAAGTGGCATCAAGCTGGGGTGACTGTATTCCTTGTGGCTGACCATTTCGTTCTGGTCCCAGACCTGGTAGTTTGAAAAACATGCCAGGCACGTGTGCGTCCATGTCCAGTATCCCAAAAGGAGAACAGAGAAGGGATTGTGTTGTGGTTATCCCCTATTGGGGGTGATTTCTCATTTAACCTCTCTCTCTCTCTCTGTCTCTCTGCAGCAAACACATGTGCCCTGTCACAAAAACTTAAAAAACAAAAAACTAAAAACAAAAAACTTTGGATAACATAACTTTTTTTGGTTGATACTATAAAGAAATTACTCTTAAATGATTAAAGACATAAAATAGATTGGCCAACTATGGCTTCTAGACAAAATAGTTTTACTGAAACACAGCAAATTTTGACTTTCACACTACAACAGCAGAGTTCAGTAGTTGCAACAGAGAACATATAGCTGACACAACCTAAAATATTTACTATCTGGCCCTTTACAGAAATAGTTTGCTGAGGGGCCAGCAGTTGGCGTAATAGCTGTGTTGTTGCTGGACCCCCATGTAGTTGACTGCCGTTTGAAGCCAAGAGCCAGTGGCTTAAACTCACCCCAGGGATGTGTTTATGTGGGCCCAAGATTCCAAAGGAGAATGGAGGAGAAGGGATTGTAGCATGGCCATCCCTCCGGGGAGTGATTTCTTGCTTTCTGTCTCTCTCTTTCTGGTGAGCACATGTGCCCTATAGCAAAAGAAAAAAAAACTCTCAAAAAAAAAAAAAAAAAAAGAAAGAAAAGAAAAGAAAGAGTTTGCTGACTGATATAAAAGAAAGAATCAATAATATTTTGGAGGGAAAATGAAAAAGGGAGATAAAAATAACTGATACATGCAGCAACATTAATGAACCTTCAAAACATTGTGCTAAGTGAAAGAAGTAAAGATTCTCACAAAAAACACATATTGTATGATTCCATTTATATGAAATGGCCAGAGTAGACAAACGTGTAGAGACAGAAACTAAATTGATACTACATACGTTGGGAAGTTGGAGGAAGATGGGGAGTGACTGTTAATGAGCATGGATTTCTTTGGGAGTTATGAAAATATTTTTAAATTGTGATGGGTGTACAATTCTATGAATATATTAAAAACCACTGAATTGTATTTAAGTGGGTCAATTATGTGATATTATATCTTAATAAAAAGAGCTATTATAAAAAATAAATACATAGAAATAAAAAGTCCTTGTTGATGTTTAAATTCAATAGGCAGATTAAACAACAGATTAGTTACAACTGAAGAGAGTATTTGTGGCTGGGAAGACAGACTTGAGAAAAGTAATGATTATCTGGAAAATGGGAATAAGAGGCTTAGAGTTATTTGAAAAGAACTGGTAGGTGAAAACCTACAAATAGCTTACCTTTTATTTGGTGAGATGGAGCATATACAGATAAGTAGACAAACAAATAACTATCAGAATACATACTGTGAAGAAGAAAGAATAAACTAGGCTAAAAGTTTAAAGAATGATAATAGGATTTTTAAGGGACTTTTATATATTCTGATCTAAAAATGCCTGTTTAATGAGGATTGAGCTATGTGGCTATTCAAGAGAAGAGCTTTGCAGAGAAAGGTTAAAGCAAGGAAGCACAAGGGTAACTGCTAGGGCTGTGTGGCTGGAGGGAAAGAAAACAAGAAACTTGTTTACCAACAAACGTGGTTTTAGAAATGCTTTATATCAGGGACCAGGAGTTAGCGTAATGGCTATGTTGCTGAACTCCCATGTAGTCAACCGCAGTTCAAGTTCCGGACCCGGTGGCTTAAACTCATGCCAGGCGCATGTGCATGCGTGCCTAGGGTCCTGAGAGGAGAATGGAGGAGAAGGGATTGTGAAGTGGCCATCCCCCCAGGGGATGATTTCTCACTTTCTATCTATCTGCCTCTCTCTTTCTGCTGAGCATGTGTGCCCTATAGCAAAAGCCTCTCCAAAAAAAAAAAAAAAAGAAGAAGGAAGAAAGAAAGAAATGCTTTATATCAGTGTTATGTTATAGATTATAATTTTTTAAATGCTTAAATCATTTGTAACAACAAAAATGCCAGATGATGTCTACCTGTCTTGCAGATTTCATGCAGAAAGAGCTATTGGTATCATTACCCACATCCTACCTGAAGATCATCTTCTTTTGGCTTCTTCAAAGAGGGTGAAAGGTATTTGTGATTTAGTCTGATTTTTTTTTTAATCGATGACATAGGATATAAAACAGGGATGTTTATTTTCTAAGAGGCAGTAGCACAAGATTAGACTCTTAACTACCTCTTCCCAAGGTAGCCAGCTCACCACAACTCCATGTAAGGGTTTCTCTTGGTTCACAGTGAAAGATTATTCACTTTTCTCATATAAAATGTTGTTAATAAGTCAAAATTTCTTTCTTTTATCCCTCCTTTTTTTTTTTCACTCATACATCCATTAATTTCTTCTGAGGAGCTCATGAAAGACTAACACAAATTGTTCTGCAGAAGCATGGATAGGAAACTGAAGTTTGGTTTCATAGCTTCAGCTTTATAGTCCAGGTTTCTTAAACTGACCTTAATATCATGTTACTCTGAATGTTGCAAGGCCCTTGCCAAACACCACTTGTTCCTTTTCTTATTTTAAGTTTTCTTATAATCACCACTAAGACATTTGCACTTAACCCATTTATTTTGCTAACATTATTGATTCACTTATAAGTTAATCTCATGCACGCTAACTAAATTTTATCTTAATTATGGAACTGGGTTTTTTCCTTCCTCTAGAGTTGCATTTTTTTAAGTTATACAAGTAATAATTAAAGTAAAAAAAGTAAATAGAGGGACCAGCAGGTGATGGGGTGGTTAAGGTGCTGGAATTCCCACATGACTAAACGGAGTTGTAGTCCCAGACCTGGCGGCTTGCGCAGGTTTTCTCTCTCTCTCTCTCTCTGGCAAAACTCATGTGAGAAAATAATAATAATAAATAAAATAATTCTTTAAAAAAGGTAAATAGAAAAGAGAAAAAACAAAGTAATTGAAATGCTATACCAATCTTAAACCAACATCTTGGCAACTGTTATTTTTTAGTCTTATTCTTTCTTTAAACAAGGTAATTTAATAAATGAATGTTTTTATTTTAATTTTATTATCTGTTTTTCACTTAATATATCATATACATTGTCCATTTTAATACACGTAGGTTTATACCTTTTTTCTTATCCTTTTTTTCTAATATATTTAATGTCATCTCTGTTATTGGACTTTTATGTTGTTATTAAGCTTTTCTTTAAAAGTGATGCAGTGAAGTAAATCATTTGACTCTTCTGTTTACTTTTATGTACATGGACAATTTTCCAAGAAATAAAGTTACTTGGTAAAATAATGTGTATATTTTTAAGGCCTTATATGGAATTTGAAAGTCTTGAATACAACTTTGAAATCGAAATGTCTTCTTGCCTGATTTTGTTGGTCAAGTGAGTAGGAAGAAGCCAGTATTTGTGTTTGGTTAAAGGTTATGTTTTATAAAGTGTGGTTTCAAAATTTTGAAAATTGCTTAGGTACTCCTTGGCACAGTTTCGTAACTTTAAAAAGTTTGCCATTTACTTAAAAAAACAATTCACATCAGCAAAGTATAGCAATCTATTAAAAGAGAAGTTAACTCTGCTTAATAATTTGATAAATACCATTGGTTTTCTTAAATTTGAATTAAGTATACTGTGCAAAATAGAATACTTAAATACTTAAAGGGGAATAATTTCATCTTGACTAGTTATAAACCATAATCACATTTAAATATAATTATAAACATCAGTGTTATTTTGTTTTAAATTAGATGGTCTAATTAGCTTTGATAGATGGTTTTGGAGTGCACTAATTTATTGCTTTCTTTATCAGCACTTATTTTAGAGGAGATTGCAATTGACTGTCATAATAAGGAAACTGAACAGAGACTGCTTCAAGAAGCTCATGATTTGCACCTGTCCTCACTCCAACTAGCTAAAAAGGCTTTTGGGGAATTTAATGTACAGACTGCAAAACACTATGGGAACCTTGGAAGACTGTATCAGTCAATGAGAAAATTTAAGGTAGAAACATGTTTTACTCTATTTCTTCTCTCTAAATCTTAAATAATAAAATCTTAAATAATACATTTTCATTAATAAAGTATATGTTCTCTTTACTCCTATCTTATTTCACAAAAAACTTTTAAACTACTATAAAATTTATACTTGAAATATAAATAAAATAAAAATTCTAAACACATCAAAAAAAAGCTAATACGATTATTAGACTTCAAACATAATTCTTAGCCAAGTTAAATATATGTACAGGTACTACTATAAAATTTATACTTGAAATATAAATAAAATAAGAATTCTAAACACATCAAAAAAAAAAGCTAATACGATTATTAGACCTCAAACATAATTCTTAGCCAAGTTAAATATATGTACAGGTTTTAACAGAATGCCTGACACATGGTAGGTAAGAAATATCAGAAATAAGTACTGTAGCAATAAAAATTAATGATTTTAATTCTCTTTTAGGATTTTGATTTATAAATTCCTAATATTGTCCAATTTAGGGCCACAGAAAGGAAAAAAGTGAGTGTACCTGACCTGTGCATTTCCACCTGAAAATCAATTTATATATCCCTCAATGTGCCTGAATTTAGTTTGTTAAGAATAAAACTTGTCAAGACTTAAAAAAAAAATGAAGTATACATCTTTGTAAATTAACACATTGTAAGTCTAGTTTCTTAAAAAGGTTCTATTAAATTTTGTAATGTGTTAACAAATTTTTATTTTTGAATTTTTAAAAATTTCTTCTGACAGTTAATTTTGTTCATTTCCTCTAACAATATAGTTTTTATTTCTTCCATCATAAACAAGTGTCCCCAAAAGGTCCCCATGCCATTGTCCATGCCCAGCCTCATCCAGCCCCAGTCACAGCATGTACATGTCTATAGACACAAGGAGACCTTAGAATGGAAGTCCCAGGACCATATGTGTGGACCCAGCATCACAGAGTATTGCATCACCAGTGCACCACCACTGCCGGCCCAGTTTCTTCTGACAATTTTTTATTATCAGCACAAGTCTACCTTTGTCACTTTTGGCATAAGACACTATTACTATCATCATCTTATGTGTACAGTTTCCAAAAATCAGAAATTCTTTCCATAGGCAACCTGTGGGGAAAATACAGTGTGTTCTTTGATCTGATTACCTTATGGCATTCATAAGACATCTTTGACATTTGGAAGACTCTTGCTCATTGGGTAAGAATTGTGGGACATAAGAAAAAATATAATCTAATGATTGCATTGACATAATTACTTTTTAGGAAGCTGAAGAAATGCACATCAAAGCAATTCAGATTAAAGAACAACTTCTTGGTCAAGAAGATTATGAAGTAGCCCTTTCAGTCGGACATCTGGCTTCTTTATATAATTATGACATGAATCAGTATGAAAATGCCGAGAAACTTTATTTGCGATCTATAGCAATTGGTATGTTACCTTTAAATTTTCTTTAGTTAGTTGATTATAGAGATCAGCCTGTCAACATGTTTTTTATTTTAAACATATTCAGTATTTTTTATGTGAAATGCCTCAGATCAAAAGTGGTTTTGATTCTTTTTTTCTTCAGATTTTAAAATATTTACATATGCATTATGAGATATCCTAGGGATGGGGCCCGTGCTAACATAAAATTTATGTTTTTTTTTTTAAGAATTATTTAACTTCATTTATTTATTTACTTATTTTAATTTCACCATTTTTTTTTAGAGCGAGAGAGTGTGTGCACAAGAGAGAGAGAGTGAGAAAGCAAGTTACTAAGTCTGGGACTTGAACCATAGTCAACCGTGTGGGAGTCCAGTGCCCTTAACCATCACTCCACCTGCTAGCCCTTCATAAAATTTATGTTTTAGGGACCAGCTGTTAGCATAATGGCTATGTCGCTGTACTCCCATGTAGTCGACCGTGATTCATGTCCCCGACCCGGTAGCTTGAAACTCACGCCGGGCGCGTGTGCATGCATGCCTAGGATCCTGAGAGGAGAATGGAGGAGAAGGGATTGCAGCGTGGCCATCCCCCCTAGGCGGTGATTTCTCACTTTCTGTCACTCTGTCTGTCTCTGTCTGGCTGGCGGAGAGACGCGGTGCCCTATAGCAAAAACCTCTTCAAAAACAAAAGAAAAATTCATGTTTTATAAATTATACCTCTGTTTTATAAATACACCTTACAAACACAGCCCGAAGATAATTTTACATAATATTTTGGTATTGTAGCATTTTGACAGCAGCCCTTCCTATCAGATCAGATGTAGAATTTGTGGCATCACGTAAACCTCAAAACATTTCACATTTTGGAGCATTTCAGATTCTTGATTTGGAGATTAGGAACCCTCAACCTGTGTTAGGGAAATGTTATTATTAAGAGATAAATGGGTTTAGAGCTTCTAGATACCCAAGGACCACTGAAAAAACATCAGGACCATTTGCTAAAGGTGTTGTTTTGATGTTGAAGTCAGTGGAAGGTGGTGTGACAGTCAAGTGTCAAATGAAGGCAAAGTATTTGTGAGTTAAAACTCCTGATCAACTCCCCTGCCCTTTTCCTGACTTTTAATATCATAGATCAGGAGGTTACCAGCAGATGGTATAGCGGTTATGTTGCTGAACTCCCACATGGCCAACCGCTTTTCGAATACTGGACCTGGTGGTTTGAAACTCAGGCCAGGTGCATGTACATGCATGCCCAAGACCCTGGGAGGAGAATAGAGGAGAAGGGATTGTGGCATGGCCTTCCCCCCAGGGGCTAATTTCTCACTTTCTGTCTTACTGTGTCTGTCTCTGGCAAGTACACATGCCCTAAGGCAAACAGCTCTTAAAAAAATTAAAACCAGGGACCAGCAGTTAGTGTAATGGCTATGTCGCTGGACTCCCACGTAGTCGACCGCGGTTCGTGTCCCAGACCCAGTGGCTTGAAACTCACGCCGGGTGCGTGTGCGTGCATGCCCAAGATCCCGAGAGGAGAATGGAGGAGAAGGGATTGCAGCGTGGCCATCCCCCGGGGGGTGATTTCTCGCTTTCTGTCTCTCTCTCTCTCTCTGTCTGGCAAGCACATGCACCCTATAGCAAAAACCTCTAAAGAAAAAAAAATTTTTTTTAATTAAAATCATAGATTAGGTTTACCTGTGTTTTTTTGTTAAGAGGTTTTTGCTATAAGGTGCATGCGCTTGCCAGAAAGACAGAGAGAGAGAGACAGAAAGCCAGAAGTCACCCCCCCAGGGGGATGGCCACGCCACAGTCCCTTCTCCATTCTCTTCTCGGCATCATGGGCACATACGCACACATTCCCGGCATGGGTTTAAGTTACCTGGTCCGGGACTCAAACCATGGTCAACTACATGGGAGTCCAGCAACATAGCCATTACACCTTCTGCTGGTCCCTGTTTTTTTTATTTTAAGAATTATTTTATTTAACTTTATTTCTTTAATGTGACCAGTGAGAGAGAGCACGTAGATTGAGAGAGAGAGAGAGAGAGAGAAAGCTATCTGCCAGGTCTAGGACTGGAACCGTGGTCTGCCATATGAAAGTCTAGAACCCTCGACCACCACGCCACCTGCCAAAAACAGGCTTACCTGTTTTTGAGCTTGATGTAAATGAAGTTGTAGTTTATATTTTATGTATCTGGTTACATATTGCTACTATTTATTACTTCCAGTGTTATGTAGAGTTTACTGAATCAATATATAATTGTCCATTCTACTTTATGAACATTTGGGACATTTGGGTTGTTTTCATTCCAGGGCTATTACAAAATGAGATGCTGTGGCCTTCGTTTTATGAAGTACCTGTTAAAACTATCGCCTATTTTTATACTGAATTGTCTTGATTTTTAAACATTATTTATTTATTTAATTCCATTTGTTATTCTTTTTTTTAATTTGACCAGACGGAGACAGAGAGAGCAAGACAGGGAAAGTAAGAAAGCAGCCGCCAGGTCCGGGACTCAGACTGTGGTCAGCCATGTGGGAATCCAGCAACCCTAAGCACCACGCCACCTGCAGGCGCCCTGTCTCATCATTTTTTAACTGATTTATGGAAGTTCTTTTTATACTATGAATAAGCCCTTAGTTGGTTGCACGTGTTGCAGATTATCTTCTCTGGTTCGACTGCTTGTTTCCTATTTATGCCTTTTTAAGGACAGAAGTTCTTAATTTTTTTTTTTTTTGAGAGGTTTTTGCTATAGGGCACATGTGCTCGTCAGATAGAGAGAGACATAGAGACAGAAAGCGAGAAATCACCCTCCAGGGGGGATGGCCACACTGCAATCCCTTCTCCTCCATTCTCCTCTCGGGATCTTGGGCATGCACGCACACGCACCCGGCGTGAGTTTAAGCCACTGGGTCCGGGACTCGAACCACAGTCGACTACATGGGAATCCAGTGACATAGCCATTACGCTAACTGCTGGTCCCAACAAACCTACTACTTAGAGCTTTGTATCTATTTGTAGTTTTCTTTGTCTTTAACCTGAAGTAGTATGTATTTGCAATACTATATTCAAAAGTTAGTTGAAGTTGTTTACAACCCTCTCTTTAGCATGGTTATGTAATTTATTTAAAAGTCAATTAGGTTCATTTGTTTATATCTGTATTGGATTTTTCTCCCATTCACCTTTATTTTATTAAATTTTTTGAGGTAAAATATTAATGTTCTAAAATCAGAACAGTAGGGCCAGTCAGTGGTGTGATGGTTTGGGTGCTGGATCCCATATGGCTTATTTTGTGTTTCAAATCCATGACCTGATGGCTTGAAAAGCATGCCAGGTATCTGTGCGTGTGTGCCCAAAATCCCAGGGGGTAGAATAGAGGAGAAGGGATTGTAGCGTGGACATCTTCCCTGGAGGGTGCTTTCTCACTTTCCCTCTCTCTCTGGAGAACACATGCACCCTATGGCAAAACTAAAAAAAAAGAAGGAAAGAAAAAGAAAGGAAAAAGAAAGAAAGGAAGGAAGAAGAAGAGTTTATTCAGAGGTGTATAATTTCCCCTAATGTTTTCTACCCAGTTCTCACATACCTGCTCTGGATAACCTATTTCATTAGTTACTAGTTTTTTCTTTCCTGTGTATCTTTTTTGCACAAATGAGTAAATAAACAAATACTTCCTTTTTTTTCCTTTTTTGAAACAAAAGGTAGCAAATGATAGATATTTTCTTACTTTGACTTTTTAATTTTATTTTAATTTGTCCAGAGAGGGATAGAGCAAGAGAAAGAAAAAGAAAGAAAGCAAGCCGTCAGGTCCAGGACTCAAACCACAGTGGGCCATGTGGGAGTCCAGTACCCCCAATCACCACTCCACCTGCCGGCCTGCCAGCCCTTATTGAAACAAAAGGTAGCAAATGATAGATATTTTCTTACTTTGACTTTTTAATTTTATTTTAATTTGTCCAGAGAGGGATAGAGCAAGAGAAAGAAAAAGAAAGAAAGCAAGCCGTCAGGTCCAGGACTCAAACCACAGTGGGCCATGTGGGAGTCCAGTACCCCCAATCACCACTCCACCTGCCGGCCTGCCAGCCCTTATTTTGTTTTAATTTGCTATAGGGTACATGCACTTACCAGAGAGAGAGAGAGAAAGTGAGAAAGCAAGCCACCAGGTCCAGGACTCAAACTGCAGTCAGCCCTGTGGGAGTCTAGCACCTTAACCACCATACCACCTGCTGGTCCCACTTTGCTTTGTTTTTTTTTTTTTTTTTTTAGCTTAACACTACAACCTGTGAATTATTTCATATCAGTTCACAGAGTTGAGTTTCTTCTTTTGTAAACCAGCTGCATAGTGGGCAACTGGGTGAATCTTCTCCACTTGATCGAACCGTTCTCCTATGTAATTGCATTTGTTTCTTTTATTTTGCAGTTACAAACACTGCTGCTATGAATCACAGCCTTGTGCACATTTTTTTTTTATGTTGAAGGAACTGCCATTCTTCATTAAAATCTCCTTAGTCCCTCCATTAAATTTTATAATTATATATATAGTGAGGGCAGATTCTTTAGATAAATGTTTTAAATGTTTTCTAAGCCTATGTAATTGCATTTGTTTCTTTTATTTTGCAGTTACAAACACTGCTGCTATGAATCACAGCCTTGTGCACATTTTTTTTTTATGTTGAAGGAACTGCCATTCTTCATTAAAATCTCCTTAGTCCCTCCATTAAATTTTATAATTATATATATAGTGAGGGCAGATTCTTTAGATAAATGTTTTAAATGTTTTCTAAGAATTTTTTATTTATTTATTTTAATTTGACCAGAGAGGGACAGAGCAAGCAAGAGAGAGAGAGACAGAAAGCAAGCTGCTAGGTCTAGGACTCAAACAACAGTCGGCCATGTGGGAGTCCAGGGCCCTTGCTAGCCCCCAAGATAAATTTTTCTTTTTTGGAGAGGTTGTTTTGTTTTGTTTTGTTTTGTTTTGTTTTCGCTATAGGGGTGTGTGCACTCGCCAGACAGACAGAGAGAGACAGAGAGACAGAAAGCGAGAAATCACCCCCCAGGGGGGATGGTCACGCCGCAATCCCTTCTCCTCCATTCTCCTCTTGGGATCTTGGGCACACACGCACACGCGCCCGA